CCCGGGGAGCTCGCAGACACGCTGCAGTTCCACGAGCGCCTTCCCCGGCGCGGGCCGCCGTCAGCCGCGGCCGAGGCGCGAGGCCCGCCCCGTTCGCGAGGTGGCGATCGGGCGCGAGGCGCGCGCCGCGGCCCGCCGAGCCGTCCACCCCCCGCCGCCGGCGCGGAGAGGTGGGGCTCGCCAGGGGAGGTCGATGCTGGAGCTGCGGTCGGCGTCGAAGCGCCAGGAGTCGGAGCGCCGCGACCAGTGCCGGCGTTTCCTTGGAGTGGACGCGGGAGCAGCGCCTTCGCTGTCAGCGGCTGCCCGATCTCGAGATCGCCGTGGTGGAGATGCTCAACCAGATGTACTACGACGGCTGGAGGTCCAACACGGCCTCGAAGATGGTGGCGGCCATCGCGTACCTCCGCCCTGCGGCTGGGCCTGGCTGCTCGCTGCTGCCACGGGTGCAGGTGGCCCGCCGGGGCTTTGCGCTGGACCCCCCGCAGGCGCGCCTGCCGCTGCCGCGGGCAGTGGCGCGCCTGGTGGCCAAGCGCCTGGTGGAGCAGGGCAGCTGGCACTTCGTCGCGGCCGTCCTCTTCGCCTTCATCCACTACTTGCGGCCGTGCGAGCTCCTGAGGATCCAGTGCGACCTGGTGCCGCCCGTCAACTCGACGCGGAAGCTGAAGCAGAAGTGGGGCATCGTGCTGCACCCGCAGGAGCTGGTGGTGACCTCGAAGGCGGGCGCTCGGGACGAGACCATCCTGGTCGACAACGTGGCGTCCTTCAGCTTCGCGGAGAGGCTGGTCGCCCACCTCCGAGGGAGCGGGAGCGGAGCTCAGGTGTTCCCCTTCACCTACCGCGAGTGGGCCGTGGGCTTCGAGGCGGCCGCCAAGGCCGTGGGTCTGGTCGGAGAGGCGACGCCCGTGCTGTACATGCTGAGGCACGGCGGGGCGTTCCACGACGCGATGACAGGCGCCTGAGACCTCAGAGCGATCCAGGATCGAAGGCGATGGCTCACGGAGCGGTCCGTGACCAGGTACACGAAGGGCGGCAAAGTGAGCCAGGTGCTGCGGTCGCTGCCCGCCAGCGTGGCACGGGCAACCGCCGCCGCCAAGCGGACGACTTCCGCGTGGCTCCTGCTGAGCTGATGCGACGCTGGAGGCGGGGCTGCTTCGCTGGGCGAGGCTTCGCGCTGAAGCTCTTCGCGGGCACAGGCCGCCCGAGCGCGGCGTGGCGTCAGGCCTCTAGACTTCGAGGGACTCCAATCTTCGAGATTGACGCAAAGCACGGAGTCCAGCGTGAGCTTCTCCAGAGGTCTGTCCAGAGTTTCATTCGGGCCCGAGTTCGTGACGGCTCGATCCGTGCTGTGTGGATCGGCCTGCCCTGCAACAGTTTCAGCACTGCGCGCAATCGGCCCAATGGGCCCGCGACGCTGCGAAATGCGGGTTTCCCTCTTGGAGCTCCCGGCTTGAAGCCTTGGGACGAGAAGGCTGTCCGAGTCGGGAACGCCCTCGCTGCCTCCAGCGGGGGGCTTCTGAAGCTCGCACGTCAAAGCGGGGTCCCGCTGGCGATCGAGAATCCTGGTCAGAGCTGGGTCTGGAACTACCCCGCCCTTGCTCCTGGGTCGCCGCCGTTGGTGTCGTCCTCCTCTGCTCCCTCCTCCGTCTCTGACTTGTTCACTGATTTCTGCATGGAGGGCCTTCCCTGGAGGAAACGGACCCGTTTTCGTGCCGTGAATCTGGACTTGGGGCCCGCGGTTTAACGGTGTTGCGGCCGCGGATTTCGTTCGCGTTCAGGAGTCCCTCACATGCAACTAGAAGGTAAGAACTCAGACGGGATTGTCTTCACAAAGCTGGCCGAGGCATACCCTCGGAAGCTGTGCCGTCGTGTCGCCACGTGTTTTAGTTTTGCTATACTAGACCAACACGTCCGCAAGTTTCGAGCCTATCTGTAGTCTCTCGGCCCCAGGCGTTTTCGCCCTGCTCTCGGAACCCTTGTGGGCGCCAGGGCTGGGTCCCAGGGTCGTGGCCTCTTTCTCGGCCCTCGGGTCGGTGCGTTTCAGTGCGGCCCCTGCGTGGCCAAGATCTGGTGGTGCAGTTTGCCTGGTTGTGGATCCGTGCAAGGTGCTTCCGATGAAACTCGATTTAAATCATCGGTGTGTGCCGTGTTCTGCAGAGCACGCGAGCACTTTCACACAGAATACCCGTGGCCCATGTGCGCGGCGCAGTGCAACAAGATGAATCGATTTTGAGATGTGCGGCTTGGGTTTCTCTGCGGAGCAGGAGTGGGCCGTCCGTTCCCATCCTGGCTCAACCTCGCTGCTTCGCTTCCCTCCCACCCCACTTTAACCAGTCAGGATCCGTGCAAGCTGCTTCCGATTTAGCTCGATTTAAATCTTCGGTGTGTGTGTGTGCCGTATTCTGCAGAGCACGCTTGCATTTTCACACAGAATACCCGTGGCCCATGTGCGCGGCGCAGTGCAGCAAGATCCTCCTCCTCCTCCTCCTCCTCCTCCTCCTCCTCCTCCCCTCTCTCTCCGCTCGCAAGACGAGGGCGCGACACGAGCACCTCGGGCATCTCCCGGAGAGCTCAGGGACACGTCCCCAGGAGCGGGCCGAGCCCGCGGGATGCCTCGGGCGCCACGGGCCGCTCCGAGAGCGCTCCGACAGGGCCCTGAGCCAGGCGTATGCCTGACCACCAGCCTCCTCCTCATCCTCCTCCTCCTCCTCCTCCTCCTCCTCCCCTTCGTAGTTTCCTCGCTCTACCTCTCACCCTCCTTTTCTTCTTCTTCTTCCTCCTCCTACTCCTCCTCCTCCTCCTCCTCCTCCTTCCTCTTCTTCTTCTTCTCCTCCTCCTCCGCCTCCTCATTCTCCTTCCCCTTCACGAAATGGGCCCGCCTCGGAAGGGCTGATGGCAGCACCCCGACGAGCGTCCTCAGACACAATGGGTGTCGCAGAGCAGAGGCAAGCAAAAACGCCCCCCGCGTGCGCTTCCGCTTTTGCTTTGGGCGTGGTCGGCTGGACGGGGCGTCTTGAGCCTTCTTAGGCGCCTCTTGAGTCAAGACTCTTGAGCCGCCTTGAGGCTCCAGGCGCGGCCGCACTCGTCGTCGAACTTCGTCGCACGTCGTCGCATTCGTTCGGAGCCTCAGGACGGCTCAAGATGCTCAAGCCGCACCCTGCACCAGCAGGGCGGTCCGCTCGCGGACGCCTCAGCCTCCCGGAGGGCCTCGGCGGCCTCCCGAGCGGGTGGGGGGCCGCTTGCGGCGTCGGGTCGGGGCTCGTGCGGGAGAGACGAGGGCAGGGAGCCTCGTCTCGCGCACGGGGAGATGCCAGGACGGCGCCCCCATGCTGGGACACCCTCGCGGCGCCGCCGAGACCGACGCGACAGGGGCGCGGCAGAGTGCGACTCCTGCAGCGCTGAAACCCTTGGCTTCTCCCCCCATTCCTCCTCCTCCTCCTCCTCCTCCTCCCTCCACCCGCGTTTCTCTTTACCCTCCTCCACCTCCTCCAGCTTATTTGCCCCCTCTTCGTCCACGTCCTCGTCGTCGGCCCCCTTCTCTTTCTCCTCCTCCTCCTCCTCCTCCTCATCCTCATCCTCTTCCTCCTCCTCCTCCACCTCATGTTTCTCCTGCTGCTGCTGCTGCTCCTCCTCCTCCTCTTCCTCTTCCTCCTCCTCCTCCTCCTCCTCCTCCTAGCCCACCTGCAAGCGGCTCCGTAGAGTCTGTCACGGCATGGACATTGTGGACGTTGCGCAGGGTGAGACTCGGTCTTGTTAGACGGGGCCAAGAACCGAAAATGTCAAATTCCGGTGTGCCCAGCAACTGTGAGGGCGGGGGGGGGCGACTTAAAGAGTTCCATGAGCTTATCCTTCTTCTCGTTCTCCTCCTCCTCCTCCACCACCACCCCTGCTCCACCTCTTCTCCTTGATCTCATTCACCTCCTCCTTCACGTCAGAGTGAGGGGGCCGAACGGTTATTCATAGTACCTGCGTGCGTGGCTGAATGAGGCATTCGTGGTGAGAATTCTGATTGGTGCGTTGTTGTTGCGTTGTTGTTGTTGTTGTTGTTGTTGGTGGTGTTGTTATTGTTGTTGTTGTTGTTGTTGTTGGTGGTGTTGTTGTTGTTGCTGCTGTTGTTGTTTGTTGTCATCCCACCCGCGACCCACCCACGACCAACCCCGCGACCCACCCGCGACCCACCTTGCGACCCACCTGCGACCCACCTGCGACCCACCCGGGACCCACCCCGCGACCCACCCGCGACCCACCCCGCGACCCATCCGCGACCCATCCGCGACCCACCCGCGACCCACCCCGCAACCCACCCGCGACCCACCCCGCGACCCACCCTCAAGGTAAGAAAAACCACTCGGACCCGACAATTAACGTTTACTAAACGGCCCTGGGCGTTGACTAAACAGCCCTGCCCTGTTCGATTCATTCCTTGGGTGGGCTTACTAAACGGCTTCGCTTGTCGGGGTGATTGTTATGGGGTGGATTTTCTGCCCTCTACACCCGCGACCCAACAGCAACCCACCCCCGACCCACCCGCGAACCATTTGCGACCCACCCGCGACCCACCCACGTTGGCTTAACGAAAAAATCGGCACCTGCGGCGGGCTCGTTGTATAATTTGGGAAACTTTGGCACCTGCGGCGGGCTTCTCCAGTCGCAAACTGCCGACGTCCCCACCGCCCTCCCACTCTTATCCGCATCTGCGGGGTGCTACGTATTATTGCTATTGCTATTCCTCCTTCTCTTCCCCTCCCTCCTCCTCCTCCGCCTCCTCCTCCTCCTTCCCCTCCCCCTCCCCAACCCCCTCCCGCTCCTCCCCCTCCTCCTCCTCCTCCTCCTCCTCCTCCTCCTCCTCCTCCTCCCGCTCTTCCTCCTCCTCCTCCTCCTCCTCCTCCTCCTCCTCCTCCTCTTCCCCTCTTCCAGGAGGCCAGCACCAGCAACGCGACGAAGGGAACGATATTTGCCTGGAGGGCGGCGGCGCGGTTCGAAGCCAACCCTCCCTCGGCAGCCTGCGCCGCGGCCGCTGCGGCCGCCACCCCTGCCGCCTCGGCCCTCGGCCATGGCCCGGCGGAGGAGCGGGGCTCAGGGAGGCGAGCGACGACTGGGGGAGCTGTGCTCCTTACAGCTGGCACGATGGTTCGGAACAACCCCAGCTCTGGAGTGGACCCCTTATATCCTTCGCGCTTTGGGTTCTCCGCCTCGGAATGCTCTTCCTTGCGGCCATCCCCTCGGGGCCTCGGGCCTCCAGTGGACGGGCTCGTGTTCTTTTTCTGCGTTCGTGTGGCAGCGCTTTGGCTGTAAGGAGCTGCTGCTGAACGTCCAACTGCGAAGAACTGACGGGGAGCCCTCCTAAACTAGCATTGTTCTTAACTCTTGTGCCAACTATACGGCAAGTTCGTGTTGTGACGACGTCGGCGTTGGTTCCTGACACCGTGTGGATCGTTCAACCTAAAATGATAACGGCTTTCTGATAGCGTGAATCATCCAATCCTGGCCGACTCCTGGCCACTGGCGGCGTTCAACCTTGAACGCCCTCGCTAAGGTCTTCGCCGCGTTGACGCGGCGCGAACCTACCGAATCCCGCTGGGCGGCCCATCGACTTCGACACCTCCGTAGGGAGATCGTCGATACGATGGGCTGCCTCAGAGGTTGGGCAAGGAACACAACTCCCCAAGTTGCGCCTAGTCGGCTCTGGAACCCTCCAAAGGAAATTCATCAACACATTCAGCGCCGCGAGGACTCCAGGCAGGCAGGAGGGGGCTGGGGCCACTCCGCCGTCCTTCGCCCCCGGCGCCCTCTACCGGTGGTTCACAGATGGGGTCCTGAGCGATGGGGTCCTGAGGACGAGGTGCCTCAAGCACCGTGAATCCGTCCGTGGATCCCTCCCTATCCTCCAGACCCCATCCCTCAGGACCCCGCGCTTGAGGCATCGACGCTGCCATGCTGCCACCCGCTGCTCTGGGAGGGCCTGGGGGCATCGGGGTCACCCGGCCGCCCTTCACAACCCGACGCCCGCTCGGGCTGCGGAGAGCAGGCCGCCCGCTTCCGCGCCTCTCCTTCGCGCCTCGCGCCGCGGCGCCTCCGGAGAGCTCCCCTGCTGCTTAGGCCACGAGGCGTGGGGCGCGGGCATCTTCGGGCCCGTGCGGGTGACGTGCAGCAGGTGCGCGCGTTAAGAGGCCCTGCTGCAAGAGATCTGGGGGCACACTCCTCGGTCGGCCCTGGACCTCGAAGAGGGATATCCCTAGAGCTCCAGCGGGTGTCCGTAAGGCATCGGGGAAAACGAGCATGTTCCGTGGGGCACTTTCCTGGCAGGAGAACTTGCCTTACCTCGTGAGCCTGCTGTAGCTTGTCGCCCCTCGGGCTCTGGGAATAGAGGTAGGGCAGGGGTTGCTGGGTGACCCCGAGGCCCCCTCGTCGTTCTCCTCTCGTCCTCCTCCTCTTATTCTTCTTCTTCATCTTCTTCCCCTCCTTCTTCTTCTTCTCCTCCTCCTCCTCCTCCTCCTCCTCCTCCTCCTCCTCCTCCTCCTCCTCCTCCCCCTCGTCCTTCCTGGTACTCGTCCTCCTCTTCGTCGTCCTCCTGCTCCTGTCTCTTCCTGCCTCCTCCTCTTCCTCCTCTTCTTTTTCTCCTCCTCCTCCTCCTCCTCCTCCTCCGTCCTCGTCCTTGTCCTCGTCGTCCTTCTCCTGCTCCTCCTTCCCCTTGCTGTGAGAGCCCCTCTAAGAGACTTCCAGGACCTAAAGGAACGGGATGCGGCGGGGCGCAAGCGGGAGCACTTGGGGCCGCAAAGCATGCTTTCAGTGGGGGTATGGGCGGGCGAGGAGGGCGGAGCGGGCGCAGATGGGGAGGAAGGCGAAGGGGAGGGAGAGGACGACACATGACCATGATGCTGCTGCTGCTGTTGCTGCTGCTATGGCTGATGATGATAGTGATGCTGTTGTTGTTGATGGTGTTGATGACGATGACGGTGATGATACTGGTGGTGATGATGGGGATGATGATGCTGCTGCTGCTGATGATGCTAATGATGATGCTGCTGATGATGATGCTGCTGATGATGATGGGGATTTTGATGATGCTGATGATGATGTCGACGACCATGATAAGAGGATTGATGATGACGATGTTGATGAAGCTGCTGCTGCTGATGATGATGGTGACGAGGACGATGCTGATGAGGATGTTGATGATAATGAGGTAGAGGATGAGGATGAGGATGATCATGATGATGAAGGTGGGGATGGAGTTTGGTGATAATGATGATATGGAGATGATTATGACGATGATGATGGTGATGTTGCTGCTGATGAAGACGACGATGATGATGGTGATGGCGATGATGATAAAAAGATTATGGGGGTGGTGATGATGATGGTGCTGTTGATGATGATGCTATTGCTGCTGCTGGTGATGAGGATGCTGCTGCTCCTGATGATAATGCTGCTGCGGCTGCTGATTACGATGAGGAGGAGGAGAAGGACCAGGAGGAGGAGGAGGAGGAGGAGGAGGAGGGGGATGAGGAGGAGGAGGAGGAGGCTCGTGGTAATGATGCGGAGGAGGATGATAATAGTGAGGAGAAGGAGGGGGAGAAGGAAGAGGAGAAGGAGGAGGAGTAGGAGGAGGAGGAGGAGGAGGAGGAGGAGGAGACGAGGAGTAAAAGGCGGAGGCAGAGGTCCGCCACCGTGTCGCTGGGCATGGGGTGGGCGTGTCAACAGGTCCTTTGCCCAATCCCCTGAGCGTCAATCCTCGATCCTGAGGGTTCTGAAAAAGCCTGGGCTCCAATTGCCGGAGTGCTTCGCGTCGGATTAGCGGAGCGCCGCCCCGCCAATTGGCCCCACAGCATGCGCGCCGACATTGCTTGCATCGCTCTCATTAGCGGAGCGTCGGTCTGCTAATGGGTTTCAAACCAACTGCTTCACTCCAATCATTCCGCTAAGTGGCTGCGGACCAGGGGACTACGATTGTTTCGCTCCCACCAGCAGAGCGTCGTTCCGCCAAGCGGCTTCAACCTAAAAGCTTGCGACTGCCTCGCTCCCACCAGCGGGGCGCCCAGTTGGCCTCCAACCGGAGGATTACGATCGCTTCGTTCCCACGAGCGGAGCGCCGATCTGCTCATCGGCGTCGAACCAGAGGATTACGGCTGCTTCGATCCCATTAATGGTGCGGCGCTCCGCTAGTTGGCCTCGAACCAGGGGATTACGATTGCTCCGCTCCCATTCGCGGAGCGGCGCTCAGGGGATTACGATTGTTTCTCTCCCGTTAGCGAAGCGCCGCTCCGCTAATTTGCCTCAGCCAGAAGATTAAGCATTGCTTCGCCCCGACTAGCGGAGCGCCGTTCCACTAATTGGCCTCAAACCGTGGGGTTGACAGATTACTTCATTCTCATTGGCGGAGCGCCGCCCCGCCAATTGGCTTCAAACCAGAGAATTACAATGGCGCTCTTCCATTCGCGGAGCGCTGTTCCACTCATTGATATCAAGCGAGAGGGTGAGAACCCCCAGTCCTGAGGAGTCTTTAACGGGCCCGGCGCCCCAATTGCCAGATCTCTCGGAGCTTGTCGCGGCTTGTTGGGGGCTTTCCGCGGCTTGTCGCATGAATTATTCGAGCTCCAAGACGTCCCCAAGACGGGCCAAGAGGCCCCAAGCAGCCCCCAAGACTGTCCAAGAGGCTCCAAAACTGCCCCGAGTGCTCCGAAGAGACCCCAGGAAGCACCCCTGAAAACTCGGATCCGCAACCCAGGCACGGTGGCGGGATGGGCCGAAGGCCATTCGGTAGACCATGGGGGGCAACGGATGAGGAGGACAATAGAGGTGTGGGAAACTGGCTATCGTGCGGACGTCCATTCCCTGTGTTTTTTTCTGTTTCGTGCGTGGTTTTTTGCCACATGACCAAGGATGCTCCTCGATAGTCCTCGCCGAAGGAAAAATGCACACGTCCGAGCGATGCCAAGGAAAAGGATGCGGGAGGATGGGGAGAAGGAGGACGAGGACGAGGCGGCGCGCATCCGCGCGACCGCCTTCGCTGTCAATCCACGTTGCACGTGCAGGGTCAGCAGCGCAGCCACCGGCACGCGCTTGCGGCAGCAGAGGCACCGATTGCGGCCACGCGTGCCGCGTGTACTTCCTGAAGCTCCGGCCTATTTCTAAAAGCACGGTTCTCATTGGGAGAGAAGATGGCGGCCTCCTCGACGGCGACGTCGGCGTGGCGAAATCGGCGAAGTCGCCGTGACGAAATCGGCGACGTCGGCGTGGCGGAATCGGCGACGTCGGCGACGTCGGCGGGGCAAAGTCGGGCTCCGCATCGAGCCGCATCGCCGATGCATCGGCGATGCGGCGAGATCCTCCGACCCCATCTACTCGGACCCCATCTGGGAGGCCTGGAGAAGGGGGGGGCGAAAGGGAAAGAGTGCAAGCAATGGCCAGAAGGGTCACGTTGCAGGCGTGTGGCGCTTGGGTCCGCTGTAGGTCGCCAGGCCCTGCCTTCGCCCGGAAGAGCACAGAAGGTCATGTACGAAAATGGTGCAAGAACCTCCGAAATATCACTGATTTGGGTGTTTGGGGAAGCTTTGAGGAGTGCTCTTCGGGCCCCCTGGGCGCGTCAGGGGGGCTGTCTGGGCCGTTTTGGGCCGTGGTGGAAGTTCTAAGGCTGCCCTTGAGCACTGTTGGGCGCCTCTCCGCGCCGCCCTGGACATGTTATGGGCGGCTGGGTGGTCAGCTAGGATACCGCGGTCGGGGGGGTGCTCCAACGTTTGGGGGGGGAACCTGGGAGGATGTCCCGGCCGCGGGCCATTTGAGATGAGCCGCCTCCAGACAACTAGAAACTTCCAAGAACTGGGACTGCACAGTGTGCACGGCGATCACTCCACTTTCTCGATCTTGCTCAGCTGCTCGACTTCGTCTTCTGTCAAATTCCGAAGCGTGTCCAGAAAGCCTTGGCGAAACGAGCCAGGCCCGCGGCTATAGCTCGGATCTTCCATGGTCCGTTTGCCAGTCAACGTGTAATAAGCCACGGCTTGGGCCGTCGAACAAGCATGAGACTGCGCGGGCTCCATCTGGCTCCCGGTGGCACAGAAGCCGGTGATGATGGCGCCAAGGGCGCAGCCGCTCGCGGTGAAGTCCTGCAGCATGGGTACGGAGTGCTTGACCCAATACTTCTCACTCGCACCATCGGTGACATAATCATACTTGCCTGTCATACAGACAACACCACCAAACTTCTTGGCAAACGCATCCAATAGCTTCGTATTCACAGTGTCGCTGCAGATCGTTGAATCGACACCCTTCGCTTCTGTGGCTTCGCCGTCCGGGACAATGGTGGCTGGCATAACTGCAAAATCCTCCGGGTACGTTAGTTTTGCACACGTGATTATCTCAGAGGCGTTACCCTTCAGAACAGTAGGTCCCATTTCGATCAACTCTTTGATCACGCCTGTGCGGTAGGACAGCGCGCCGAAACCAACTGGGTCCAACACCCATGGCTTCTTCATATCTTTGCACACCATAGCAGAAGCCTTTGCGCCAATGGCCCAATCTTCATCAAGTGTGCCAAGATTCAAGTTCACGCCACTTGCAATTTTGGCAAACTCTGCGGCCTCGCCGCAGACGCCACCATGGGCCATGGCAGGAGACATTTTGGCAGCAATGAGTACATTTGCCATGATGTCCATGCTGACGTAGTTCGTCACACATTGCACCAACGGCCCAGAAGCACGCACCTGCTTCAAGGTAGTTGCAGCACGCTTTGCCAACGACATGTTCGACGAAAGTTCGGGATTCCCTACGCGCGTCTCAACGCGGTCAGGTTCAAACGGTATCTCTCAATCCTAACTGTTAGGATACCCGCACCCTGAGCCAAACAAACCTTACCAAGCAATGCGCATGCGTTCATCGTGCAGGGAGCATTTGCTGGCAGTGCTATTTCGGTGCGGTCAACATAACATAGGAGCTTCAAGTTGGAAACATGAGGTGCTGTGAGCCAACAGGACAATCGCATCCCCTCACATTCCCCATACCTCGTTGTCGGGGATTCACATACCTCATGATTCCTTGCTGCAGACTCGCATGCTACACAGTTTCCCACCAGGAACTCGCTTTCCTAGCATTAGCTTTCACACTACGACGGTCTGTACACACATACACATACGTGCACACACACACTTTCATACCTTCATGCATGAACATACAGATCTATGCATATATATATAAAATAAACATACATACATACGTTGGCACAAACATACGTGCATTCATACATACAACCATGCAACCATACCTACCTACCTACCTACCTACATACATACATACGTACATACGTACGTACGTACATAGACACATACATACACATATACATATATACACATACATACATACATGCATGCATGCATACATACATATATACATACATACGTACATACGTACATACGTACATACGTACATACGTACATACGTACATACGTACATACATACATACATGCACACACACACATTTATACATACATACATGCATACATGCATACATATATACATACATACAACAAATGCATACGTCCATATGCAAACATACATGTACACATGTATACATACATACATGTATGCGTGCATACATACATACATACATATATACAAACACACACATACATACATACATGCATGCCTGCATGCATGCATGCATACATACATACATACATACATACATACATACATACGTTCCTACATACATACATGCGTGCAACTCTAACGTGTATGGATGTGTGGATATGTAGATACGTATATATGTATGTTTGCATGCCGGTTTATATATAAAAACTGCGTATATACAGTCTATACATACATATATGCCGCTGCGTCTTCTCTCGACCCCGACCACTGGGGCTCGTTGTCGGGCCACGGGGCCATCAAACACGGATGCGGGACGAAAGCCCACCCGGGGAGGGGGGCCGGGACCAATGGGGCCGCGCACAGAAAACAAATCACGCTGTCGGATGTCTGGGAACGGGGCTGGACGCGGAATCCAGGGGCCCTCCTAGAAGGCCCTAGGCGCCCTCTCAAAGTCAAGCATCGCCCTCTTTGGATGGCGAGCGCCTTCGAGGAGGCCAGCAGCCCTGTGTGCCAGCTCGCCTCGTGGGGCTGCGCCAGACGGCGTCCTGGGGCGGCAAGGGGGAACGGCGCCTTGCTGGCTGCGGCCTCCTGCTCCTCCTGCGCCTTCACAAAGTCGAGGTACTTCTTGCAAAACTTGCACTTGTCCTGCGGCCGCGGGCACGAATGGTCTTCGCCAGGGCTCTTGTGGCATAAAAGAAACGGTCCTGAGGGAAACGGGTCATGGACCCTGGGGCCTTCCCCTGGGACCAGCGCTTCATGTCCTGAATGATGCCTTGACGGTCCTGGGCCCGTGGAAGGCCCTAGGAACCCCTAAACTTCAAAAAACAAATACCCGCTTGCTTCTTGGCGAGTCGTTTTCAATGTGAGTCTTCTCCGCTGGCAGGTCGTCTCCGCCAGGGGCCGTCTACGCCGAGAGGTCATCTCTGCCGTGGGGCCGTCTGCGCCGGGAGGTAAGCCTCGCTGGGGGGCGTTTTCGCCGGAAATGGGACGTCTGAAGACCTCGACCCGACTCCACCTCGACCGGGCTCCTCGACTCGACTCTCTAGGCCTCCTAGATGGGCCTCCTCCTCCTCCTCCTCCTCCTCCACCCGCCCTGCTGCGGAGAACTCTCCCGTGCGACGCTCGGTCGCCACCGTGGCACGCACGGTCGCCCTGCTGCGAGGCCGCTCCCGCTCCAGGGCGGGTCCGCCCTCCTCCACCTCGCCCTCCCTCCCCTCCCTTCCCTCCTTCCTCTCCCTTCCTTCTCCTCCCCTCCTTCCTCCTTCTCCTCCTTCTCCTCCTCCTTCCCCTCCTCCTCCTGCTCCTCGTCCTCGTCCTCGTCGTCGTCGTCGTTCTCCTGCTCCTCCTTCTCCTCCTCCACCTCCTTATCCTCTTCCTCCTCCTCCTCCTCCTCCTCCTCCTCCTTCATTCCAATTTCCTTATAAGTAACTCCGCCATGTCGGGGCCCGAGGCGTGTTGGTAGGGCGGGCTGGGCGTTTCGCCTGAAACTTCCTCGCCACTTGTGATCCTCAAGCTGAACTTAGCAAGGGCGTCACGGATGGAGGGCGGGCCGCATTCAAAATATAGCTCTCGTCTTAGCGCCGCGCACATTCGTCTTAAACGTTTGCAAGAGCTTCACGGATGGAGGGCGGGCCGTTTTCAAAATGTGCCTCTCGCCTTCGCGCCGAGCGCATTCGTCTTAAACAGTTTGCAAGAGTTTTCGCGGATGGGGTGCGGTTCCGTTTCAAATGTGGCTCTCGCCTTAGCGCTGCGCAGATTCTCTTTTTAAGTTTGCAAGAGCTTCACGGATGGAGGGCGGGACGCGCCACGCGCACTCGTTTTATTTAATCGCTTCGCTCATTCCGCCGGCCCATACAGTCTCATGTCTGCCGTTTGCCCGAGGGCCTGGTGTCAATGCGGCGCTTTGGGGGTTCCTGGGGCCGCTTGGGGGACTCCTGGGGCGCTCGGGGGGGCATTTGGGGGCCTCCTGGGGCCGCTTGGGGGACTCTTGGGGGCCTCCTGAGGGCCTCGTGGGGGCCTCTTGGGGCCTCTTAGGGGCTCTTGGGGCCTCGTAGGGGCTTCTTAGGGCCGAGGGCTCGAAATGTTGTTTCGTGTTCCCTCTCTGGGGCCCCTTTGGGGGCGTTCTTGGGGCCCTCTTGGACCGTCTTGGAGGCTTCTTGGGCCGTCTTCGAGCCCTCTTGGGCCATCTTGGGGCCCTCTTGGGGGCCTCTTGGGCCCTCTTGGGGCGATCTTGGGGGCCTCTTGGGCCGTCTTGGGGCGTCGGGAAGCCGAAAAGGTGGAAGCTCCAAAATCTCTCAAAAACCTAAGGGAAAACAATGAATTTTGCCTCCGGGGGCCCTCTTGGGAGTGCTCTTGGAGGCCTCTTGGGGCGTCTGGGGGCTATCTTGGGCGTCTTGGAGCGATCTTGTGGCATGTCGGACCCCTCGTGTACCATCTTGGGGGCCTCTTGGGGGCCTCTTGGCCTTTCTTGGGGCTCTCGGGGACGTCTCGGAGCCCTGTTGGTGCGCTCATGGAGCGCTCCTGGAGCGCTCTGGGGGAGTCTCCCGGGGATCGGTCGGGGATCGCCCGGGGTACTTTTCGTCCGGGGACCCCCAGGGGCCACCCCGCGCGCGCGAACTAGAGAATTGTCAACCAGTTACCGGAGATCTCAGCACGCCTCTGGCCCGTTGGGCCGGCGAATGTACAGCAGTTTCAAAGATTTCCATGGCCCCTGAATAATAATCTGGCACGATGTTGGATAGTCAGGGCGCAACAATTACGTTGATTCGCGGTGTTGGAGTACCAGGAACGGCGTTGCTGGCGCGGTTTAGGATGTTCAAACGGTTGTCTTCCTACGGGGCATTCCTTCAGTGAGAACAACCCCTTTTTATGGTGCCTTTGAAGAGGGAACTTGGAGGGAGGGATGATTGTAATCTGTTCGATGGGTCTTGGGTTTGCATTGTTCTTCCTCCTTCTCCACCTCCTCCTTCCTCAGCCCCATTCCCCTTCCTCCCGCCTTCCTTCCCCCCTCATTTGTCTCCTCCCTCTTCCCTTTTCACGTTCTCCTCCTTCTCCGTCTCCTCCATCCCATTCCCCTTCCCCTTCCTGTTCCTCTTCCTCCCGCCTTTCTTACACTACCTTCTTATCCTCCCTCCTTCCTTTTACACGTCCTCCTTCTCCTCCTCTTCCTCCTCCCCCCGCTGCGTTTCCTCTCTTCTCTCCAACACCTCTTCCGCCCCCTCTCCTCCCTCCCTCTTTCCTCTCAGCCCCCCGGGGTGGGAGGGGCGGGGGGTTGGTGGGACTGGCTGGAAGTTCCACCTCGCCCCTATGGGAGGGGGGTCGGTGGCACTGGCTGGAAACTTCTCCTCCTCCTCCTCCTCCTCCTCATCATCATCCGCCTCCTCCTCCTCCCGCCTCCCGCCTCTTTCTCCTCCTCCTCTTCTCCTCCTCCTTCTCCTTCCCCTTCCCCTTCCTCCCGCCTTTCTCCAACCATCGTCTTCGCCTCCATCCTCCCTTTACACATGCTCCCCATCCCGCTGCGTTTCAGTGTCGTTCTCCCCCACCTCGCCCACCTCTTCTCCCTCCCTTCACTCGTCTTCCCCCCCTCCCTCCCCCCCCCTCCCTCCCTCCTTCCTCCCCCTTCCATCTGCTTCGCTCTTCCTCCCTCCTCCTCCCCTCCTCCCGTCTCCAACCTCCTCCTCCTCCTCCTCCTCCTCCTCCTCCCCTCCTCATCCTCCCCCACCTCCTCCTCCTCCTCCTCCTCTCCTCCTCCTCGCCTTCATTCCCCTCCTCCTCTTTCCCTATTCACGTCCCGTTCCTCCCGCCTTTCTCCCGCCCCCCCCTCCTTCTTTTCCTCGCTCTTCCCTTTGCACGTCCTCCTCCTCCCCCTCTCGGTGCGTGTTCTTTCCCTTCTTCTCCACCTCTTCCACTCCCTCTCCTCCCTCCCCCTTACTTTCAAGCCGTGGGTGTTGAAGGGTGGGGGTCGGCGGGACTGGCCAGAAACTCCTCCTCAGACTAAGTTCCCTCCTCTTCCTCCTCCTTGCCCATCCCCTTCCCATTCCTTCCTCTCCCCCCCTCCTCCTCCTCCTCCGCCTCCGCCTCCTCCTCCTCCTCCTCCTCCTGCTTCTCCCCCGCTGCGATACCTGTCCCTTCTCCTGCACCTTTTCCACCCCCTCTA